TATATGTATATGTATATGTATATGTATATGTATATGTATATGTATATACACGCTTTTTTGCTTGGGCTTTATTGGGCTATAGTAACAGCTCAGTTATGTCATTCTACCTGTTGTTTTGCATGCACAGTGAGAGCTTCTACACAAGAGACAAATCCTTGTGTGTCCAATCACACTTAGGCAAATAAAGTATTGTATTGTATCATATTGTATTGTACTGTACGGAGTGGTATTCTACTCTACTTCTATTCTATTCTATTAACATTTGCTCTGTACTGAATGGTCTTTCATTGATGCAAAATGTAGTAATTGGGTTGTTCGTCTCACTTAACTTGGCTAGGGCTACAGGTCTAGTAATGCTTTGCTAGAATCTCATGATTCTATTGATTTTTTCCAATCCAAGTTTGCTATTCTAGCTTGATAGAGGCAAATAACTCTAGCATTGAATTGGTTTCCACTTTCTTTCTAAGTTCAATTAATACATGGCTTGTGGTGACCTTCTAATATAATTTACAACTTGGGACCAGATGAACTCAAGGGAGAAGTCCTTCCGAGCCCTAAATGAATTGGCTCGCTTGCTAAATTTGACATTGCAGTTCTTCCGTGGACATGGCTACTATTCTTGGTATTCTTAATGTTCTAGGCTCTAGAATTTGCTCCAGATAAAGCATTTGCTTCCTCTCAACTATCCCACTGAGCAAAGTATGAACCACATGCAGCATCTAATACCCATTTTGCAGCTCAGCAAAGATTATCATAATTTTCTCTCCTTTCACTGACATTGTCTTGCTAAATGCCATTCTCATTTCCAGATCAGATCTAGAAAGAAAGCTGCACAGAAAGTCCCAACCAATATAGCTTTCAAGTTTGTAATCTGGCACAATGTTATTTATTGAACACATGGGAATGCTATATCTAGGCCTTTGCTGCAAATATTCTATTATTCAGTTGCCTCTGATACTTCATTAGCTGATAAACATTATTTCAAAAGTATTTCTGTCAGAGACTGCTTTGAATTCTTTTAAGCTCATTCTTCAGCCATCAGTGACAGTATCTAGCTACTGTCCTTTGTTGGGCATTTTAAAAACTGCTGTTGGGTCTTCTCTAATAATTCTTAGCTTTGCATTAGGTTTTTGGAAAATATTTAAGTTTTTGTTTTATAGCTTTATTAGGCATTTTCTCCAGCGTTAGCTTTGTTGCTGCTACTATTGTTCGTCTTTCCTCATGGTCTAGTTTCAACAGCTATATGTTACATTTGCAAAAAACGTGGCCTTAACAATACATTCTTCTTCCCTGCCCCAAAAGTGTTTGTTATCTATACAAGTTTTAATATTAATTAATGTTAACATCTCCACCATATTTATACTCTATGTCACAGGTGTCAAACTCCTGGTGTCACATGAGGTATCACAACATTTTTTTCCCTCTGCAGAGCTGGGGTGGACGCTGCCTGCATGTGAAACATCTGGCCTGCAGCCTGCCAGTTTGACACCCGTGCTTATGTTCTCTCTCTCTCTCTCTCTCTCCCCCTCTCTCCCTCTCCCTCTCCCTCTCCCTCCCTCCCCCCCACTCTCTCTCTCTGTTTGTGTACTACATGATAATAAAAAGAAAAATAGACTAATGGAGCAAATTTAACAAGGATTAAAATACCACAAGTAGAGAAAGAGAAAAGAAGAACATTAAAAAAAACTGAATAGGTTTCTAACTTCTCCTTTTTCTATTTTAGAACCCCTTAGAAACTAAACTGTAAGAGATTATATTGTCTATGCTGTGTGATACATTCTATGTTTGGGAACCATTTTTGTTTAAATTTAGCTAAATATATAGCCATATATACCTTGGTTGTTAGAGTGATGTCTTTTCACTTCCTTATGTCTATGGATTACACTTAATATTGATTGAAGACAATGTTTTTACCCATTTGTACATAATTGATTATCATAATTGCATGCCGTTCTTATTTTCCTTTGCAGATATTAACTGGAAGCCTCACATTCCTGAAATTGTATGTGATATGGAAGTGAACCAAGTCAGAAAGCTTGTTCGGAAATTGGGTATTTGTACAGCTCAAATCGATGAGATCTCCCATGACAATGTACACGATTCTTCTGAACAAAAAATAAAATTACTGGAACGTTGGCACGAAATGCATGGGATAAAAGGTTCTCTTCAGACTTTAACCACCTGTCTGAAAGAACTTAAATATTATGATGCAGTTGATAAAATTAATGAACTAATTGAGAGAAAATTGAGCCATCCAGAAGATTAAAAGAGGTAATCTTTAAAATACTTATCAAAATGTAAGACTTTTCTGATAAAAGCCACAGTTGTGTTTTTATTTTAATTATTAAATTTATATGCCACCCATTTCATAACCAAGCAACTCTGCTACTCTTATGTAGTAGGACTGATTCAACAGATGGTTCTTTGGGGAATGGACCTCACATTCCCATTTTTTTCAGCCCTCTATCTGAAAAGAACAACTTTTGTTTTGTTTTCCAGATGTCACTATGTGATCAGATTGGACTGTTTATGTTGACATGGCATATTTCGGCATGCATAACATCAGCAACAGGACTAGTTGATACAGCAATGTTGCCAGACAAACATCCTTCAAAAATTACACTTTGCTACCTCAGGCGTTCTTTGTCAATTGCAATATCACTGCTTTACAAGAACAGAAGGCATTACACAATTCACAAAGGACTTCTTCTAACTGAAGTATGATGATGTGGTGTGTAGGCAAACAAAATAACCTCCACAAAACTTTTGCTGGTGGCACATTGATCATGTTTCAGCAGGGGGCAGCATCTGATTACAGGATCGTGTCTGGGCTCAGAATCTATGTACAAAGATAGAAGATCTCCAATGATGTAGACCAGGGGTCAGCAATCTTAAATACTCAAAGAGTCATTTGGACCTGTTTCCCACAGAAAACACCGGGAGCCACAAAACCCTTCCCATGCTTGACTATTTCCTGAGTGGCCACAAAACTAGCATCTGTACTTGAATTAAACATTCTGTTTTCTTCTGAAACTTTTATTTTCTTGGATTTATCCATGGTTGGCCTACTGGGGTCAAAAAGCTCAATAAATCATGTGCCGGCAGGTGTCATACATTGGCAGTTGTGACACACATTTTGAGTGATGGAGCTGCAGCTGAGGGATGAAAGAGCCACATGTGGCTCCAGAGCTGCGGGTTGCTGACCCCTGATGTAGACCATGGTTGTCAACCATTTCTTCATCACAGAGCCCCTTTAAATATCTTTTGTGGCCATGGACCATGGCCAGGACCCCAAAACTTAACTCAAGATTTAAATCATAATATTTCCTCAAGCCTTCGCAGACCCCCTGCGATGACATCAAGAGAGGTCCATGGTCTACAACTTAAGAACCACTGATGTAAACTAAACTAGGAAGTTTTTAAAATCCAGCAAAAGGGCAATTGTAAACTGCTTTTGTACTGTTGCTAAGCATATGCTACATGGTTATGTTCATGAATTCAACAACAGTTGAGCTAACTTGAAAAGGCCTTGCTTATTTTAACCCTTATAAAATGCTTTCTCTGCAGATAGTACCATTTCTGGAATTATCCATATACTTCATGAATTTTAAATATCTGGTTTTAAAAAAGAAAATCATCTTTAGTTCCAGTTCCTGCTGTTGAAATGTTTATTTTTGTATAGTTTTGTTTGGTGTCATGGTAGGCTTTGCACTGAAAGGATTCTATAACTGAGTAGATATTAACAAAAATGAATGAATGTAGAGCTGTAGTGGCACAGTGGTTAGAATGCATTATTGCAGGCTAATTCTGCCAACTGTCAGAATTTCGATTCTCACCAGCTCAAGGCTGACTCAGCCATGCAAGAGTCTAAACTCACAAGTCTTTTCACTTCTCTCTTCACCGTAGCTGGAGATTCCATAATACTTTAGGATTAATTTATCTGTGGAAAATAAATTTTGGTGCATATATTATTGGCGTATAAAATTAAATATTTCTCATAGGATGTCAGCACTTCAAAATAGTCCAGATAGAAGCCAAATTTATGAGTACTAATGCAATTTTATCATAAGTTGTACTATGTACAACTAAGTTGTACTATGTACAACTATGTACAATATACATAGTTACAATAACAGAATACTGCAAGTCTGGGTTTAAGTGTTTTATTAGTTTATCAAAATCAAAATGTAAAATACAGAAATACAAAGAAAAATGAAAATAATGGGAAAATAGGAGGAATGGGGAGAAAGGAAGCAATGTAGGATACAGGGGAAAAGGAAAAAGAAAAGCTTCGACTTCCAACTCCCTTTGTGCAATAGAATAAGGTAATAACATAAGTTTATATTCTGTGGTGCAGTGGTTAGAATGCAGTATTGCAGGTTAATTCCGCTGGCTGTGAGCAGTTCGATCCTCACTGGCTCAAGGTTGACTCATCCTTCTGAGGCCGGTAAAATGAGCCAATTGTTGGGGGCAATATGCTGACTCTATAAACCGCTTAGAGAGGGCTGTGAAGCACTGTGAAGTGGTATATAAGTCTAAGTGCTGTTGCTATCAGTATATCTTGAAATATATACCTCTGCAGCTGGGATCACATTATGGTTGGACTGACACAACATGCTTAATTTGATTTCACAAGTAGCCCATTTTTTAGGTTGCACAATATATTGAAGCATAAACTAGCCTGGGTTAAAATAACCAAGGCTTGCACCCCACATGAAACCACACAAAAAAATCTACCACACATTAAAACTAACCACATTTAGTATGTGGAGCAAATATAGCCATTATGTTAGTTAATGACTTGGTTAAGCATGTTGAACAAATACATACCAAGCAAATGTTGTATTAGACCTATGTATAAAATCTTCACGGCTATATAAGTGCTCAGAAAGGCATTCTGAAAATTAAAAAGAGTTAAAGTCCCTCTCATAGCAGCTACTGAAATTCAATTGCCAGCAATTTGATTCTCACCACTCAAGGATAACTCAGCCTTCCCTCCTTCCGAAGTCAGTAAAATGAGGACCCAGATTGTTGGGCGCAATATGCTGACTCTGTAAAACCTCTTAGAGAGGGCTGTAAAGAACTGTGAAGCAGTCTATAAGTCTAAGTGCTATTGCTATATACTAGCCATTTCTGTAACAACAAAGCTATCTGATCAGCAAAACCCAAAATCAAAGTTTCATTTTTTCCCCTCCAGTTCAAGCACAAAGTCCAAAAGAGGTTTCCAAGTGGAAACAAACTTAATTGTATTCTTTTCTTTAATCAAAACAGTCAACAGAATCTTGCAAGTCTGGAAGCACATTCTGTCCCCTTACCTTTATTTTCCAGGGAATCCCTTCTAAGATGCTTCTATTACTTCTGTGGGCTGAGGTGCCTCTTATCTGATTGTTGCCCTAGCTTCAGCTCTTCCTCCTCCTTTTTCTCAGGGATATTCCCACAGAAAATTACAGAGGACAAAGAGCCGCTACCTCTTTCTGGATGATTGTGATAATGGGCACTGATTAAGTCTTTCGTAAAACAGAGTTCTAGCACAGTTGATTTTTCTTATGTCTTATGTCAATATTTCTTTAGACAACCACAAAATAAAAATGCCCTTCTTTACTCTCCCCTTCCTTTCATAAAAACTGAACTCTGCTTGTATTTGCCTTGTGCAGTGAACTACATTCCCCAGGAGTGGGGAATTATGAGCCCTCTGTGTATCATGATAGATTCATGGCCTGGCCTGAAATAGATTCAGAGCTGTGTGCTGTAATTTCTACATGGAATTTCCCTATCAATTAACTGGTCTTAAAATATTTTGTTCAAAAAAAAAAAAAAAAAAGAGCTTTGATGTATGACTCATGCCATCTGATCTCACAAGAGCCATTTCAGGTAGAAGAAATAAGTTTTCTATACTTAATAAACATTCACAGAGGGGAAAGTTGTGAGAATCACATAGATATTGTGTCTATCAATGATTTCTTATAAAACTGGAGCTTCAATTTGGCGCCACAAAGATCAATCCTCAATCTCATCGTATTTTTTTTTTCTGTTGGCCTAAACCAGGAGTGGGGAATTATGAGACCTTTACAACGTGTTGACCAGCTCCCAGAATTCCATGCTGGCTCAGGAATTCTGGGAGTTGAAGTCTACAAGTCACAAAAGGGTCATAGTTCCCCACCTGTGGCCTAGACAAAGAGGTGGAAGAAATGTTTATATATATATATAATATATACTAAACTGCAGACTGATGTGGCTACTGGGAAAATGCAATTATGGACCAAATTGTCTACAGTGTAGTTTCCAAATCTCAGGAAATAATTGTTTCACTTTATTCTGTGTCAGTCAAGGTCTACTTTGTGTCTTGTATTCATTTTTACCGTGCTTTAAGAAGATTTCAGAGAAAAAAGGAACAGGTTTAGAGAAAAGTCATAAGAAGGAATGATCAGGAAAAGGAAGTCCTCTCGTGAATTTCTGAGTTCCATTCTTGTTGGTTGTAATAAAACTTCCTTGGCTATGAAGTCAGATGGGAAGACTTGAGAATGATTAAGTCTTGAAAAATGAAAATGAAGGAGCGGAGTTTGGACACCTGAAAAGGATTGAACAAGATTGAGAACTTTCTGCAGGGCAGGTCATTTAAATTATAGAAATGGAGTTTCCAAATGTACTTTAAAAAAATCTTTCTGAACTAACTGTGCAGAGAGGTTTTGGATGCATAGCTCAACAGATAGCATTAGACAAAGAATGTAATAATAAGTGCTAACACATCATGGTGATCAATCTTACTTTTACAAGGAAACGTTTATTAGAATAAAAGAAAAACTGACACTTCCTGTTCTAAGTAAGAAGCATAGAAGTCTTCAACGGAGAAAATGATTCACTAGGAAAAACAAACAAAAACCCGGAACTATGTTGCAACATACCAGCAATTCAGCATTCCTTTAGGAGAGCGAAGCTGCTGGTGATGAAAACACAAAAATGGAAAAAGCATTAAGAATTCCCCTCACCCCGCCTCACATGGAATTGGACTCAGATTCCACCCAGAGAGTTACAGATGCTGACAAAAGGAAACATGTCCATGAAGATTATCAGTCATCCATATGTAGAGTTACCTGGAAGTTGAGTCATGTCAACTGGATTACTTTCCTTTTTGGTTTGAAACGTTTTGCTGCTTGTCCAAGCAGCTTCTTCAGCCTGCACAAGTTGGTCAGGGGGACACCATAGATGTCCTCCAGAATGGTTTCATTCCTCACCTTCCCAATCTTTTCTCCTAGGTTGGATTGTAACAGGAACCTGTGAACTGGTCTTGATCTTCCTGGAGACTGATGCAAGAGCAGCATAAAAAAATGGGGGAGAGGTTGTGTCTGATGTCTTCATCACCACCACCACCACCAACACCACCACGACTACTACTTCTCCTCCTCCTCCTCCTCCTCCTCCACATATTCCTGCAAATGCAAAGTCCACTTTTCAGATCATCGAACAGCACATTGTACAGTCAGCTGCATCTCTGGGGTGCAGGCTTGCATGTCTTTGTTGATAGTGTCTCACCATCTCTGTTTTGGATGCCCGTAAGGTCACTGGCATTGACTTCTAGCTGGTAGGCTGTCTTGGCAAAGGTCCCTGTTGTTGCTGCCCAGCATTCAGTGCCATACAGTGCAACAGGACAGATGGTTGTCTTGTAAATCTTAGATTTAAGATGAGTTCGCATTCGTCTGTCACATAACACACCATGAGTTCTCACCAACACATCCAGGCTGCGTTTACACTTGCTCGCACCTCGCCATTGCCTTGGAGATGGGATCCCAGATACCAAAAAAATGTCCACCTTCTTTAGGTTTTCTCTACTGATTTGAAGTGTTCCAGGGTAGTAACAGTCTCTAAGTACTCAGACCTTCACTTCTATTGAGAAAAGGATTTTCCACTTTGGCATAAATGGATGCCTTCATTCCTCTCTCAAACCATCTATCATCCCTGTCCCAAATGTGAATATTATTGTTCTCAAAAGAAAATCTTTTTTTTTAAATGAAGGAATGTCACTGATTCTGGTCCTGTGGTGTCATTTCTCCTATGCTGGGCCAACCTGTCATGTAAAGGTGGCTTGGTTTCTCGAGTGTAGCGGTAGTGGGCTGCATATACCACATTACTTTTCTTTCATTTTGGGAAAAG